CACAAAACAAAAGTCCATTTAAATGTCAAAAAGTTTTGTTTAAAGTTTGGCGCATAATGTGGTGCTACGGGCCAATGGGAGCGCATACTTGGCCGTCACGTGCGGGGAGTGGTAGCCCGCGATTGGCTGCAATGGGTAGAGGAGGCGGTGCTTCGGAGTGGTGTGTTTTGGGTGTTCATGATGTGCAGTCGTGAGCACTGGTAGGCAACCTGCAGCGCTGTGCGATAGGGATATTGTGTGCCTATTATGTTATGTTTGGCACTGCATAGCCATAGCACAGGACAGACCGTCAATCATATGATTTAGTGCCAGTAATTGCAGTGCATTTCTACCGTTCAGTCGACCACTCAGTCGTTGCACTCATTGTTACCGCGATTGCCGACAGATTAAGAGTAATGCTTTGATTATGTATTACACGACACATGTGTGGCATTTGGCGTGAGATGTGTGGCAGTGATGGACACCAATGCAGTCAAATCGATACCAACGCATCCAATGGAGCCAAGTCTGCAGCCATACAATCACCGCAACCTCACTGACAGAGACATGAATGCCGAGGAGGACACCCCCAAAGACAATGCCACCACTGGTATGACACACTCGCTCAGCACACACTAAGCACTCCCACCCCACTATCACCCCAATCACATCCCATACCATTACACTAATTACACGAATATATGAGTCAATGATGTGTTTCTCAATGAATTGTATGTCTGATCTGGTGGTGGACTATAGCAGTGAACTCTCAACCGGGTGTCAAGTCATACAAATGGCCACTAAGTGGTCACCGGATAGTACTGAAGAGGTCGACGTCGGCCGACTCAGTGCTGATGGCCGACTCGTATCAAGTGATCGGCGGCTCGTCTGCGCACACATACGGCCTCAGGAGTGATCAGTGCACTCAAGTCAGTGTCCATTACATGCTTACCATTCATGAGTTCCTTACTATCAATGCCTTTGTCTTAAGTACTCTTTGTATTAGTCTATGAATGCTAATGAATACCTAAAGGTATGATCAGTTGCCGCGGCTATTGTCTGCCATTGAGACGATTCCATGTCTGCCCGCCAGTTGACTAGCAAATGATTTAGTGATATGATTAGTGTCTTAAGCTGGCTGTCGGTGGTGGTGGTAAGTGGTGCCCAACCCTATGAGGGAATCCCTGCAACTGCGGCTCAAAATGTCGATTCTCTATATACCTGTGTATAACTCCACTGTATATGTAGTGAATTCTTTGTCAATCACTATCTGTTTTGGCGAAAAGTTTTTTGCAATCAATTAATCATTTATTTATAGAAAATTATTTCACATTTTATATAATCATTTGTCGAGATATTTGTCTATTCGTTTAGACATTGAGCGCCAGCCATGCGTTCATTAAGTTCTTGTGTTTTATACATATGAATACATGTGTCGTGTCTTTGCCATAGACTCCCGAAGAATGGGAAGAGTCGGACAAAAGTCGATTCGATACCACACTTAAAGAGCATAAAACTGAGGTATAGTTTAGCAGACAATTGATGTCCGAATTGCAACCAAACACTGAATGCAATTGTGATTAAAACCCACGACTTTCCTATCCTCACAGTCAGTACAAAATACAGCTCCTCTTCGACGAATTGATGCCAGACTTGTATCCAACAAAGACCAGAGCACACAGAGTATTGGTAGGTGTCTGACCCCTCCCCCACTCCCCCCCCCCTTTGATCGCTTAGTTAACTGAATGTCATTTGTTATGATCGCTCGCACTCGCGGTGTTGATCCACACGTGTATGACTGCGACCACCAGAATGTGATTCATATAAAGCGACACAAGCGTTGGTTACCAGTGGCGTCAGTCCCGTGAAATGGAGCCTAACAAAGTCGGGTCCCATAACTATTCCAACGAAACTATGCGTCGAAAGCAGTCGTTCGGCCAATAGTCTCGAAGAACTGAATCAGGTTTGCGATGATTATTGGGCTGACCATCGATGGCGACAGTGTTATTGACGACATGTCTTTTTGGTTGTTGTAAATGATTAGGAAATCGAGAATTTGGTTCTCAAAGGAATTCATGGTTTCGACAACCAATGTATATGTGATAAAATACCGGAAGGACATCGGGCGCCGGTGTTCGAGTTGTTGGCCGTTAAGGCACAGAAAATGAATTGCGTCGGCAGTGGTAGTGGCGAAGACAGCAGCGATCTGAGCCAATCGGAGTCACCCGTATTCGCCACCGGTTTGTGACCACCATTTGAATCACATTTTATTTAAATTTATTTGTTTCGCAATTACTGTTAAAACTTTCGGTTAACACGTAAACACTAAAACTAATGACAATAATTTGATTCCTAGTTTTCCGTCACTTTTAATGACCCAATCATTTTGTAATTATCCCTTTTTTTGTGTTGTATGAATGGCTCAGAAATTATCTCAACGGCCGATACCTGTGACACTCAGAACCACAATAACAACAACTACTCAATGAGTCCCAAAATCAACAAATTTCTCACTCGAGAGCCGCCCGACGGCTGCGAAAAGATTCGGATCGTCAACGAAGACGATAGGTTTGTACAAATATACCGCATATATATTCAGTGACCACCGCTTTTGTCGCATGAGTTTTAATCACTTGTCTGGATGTAATTGCAGACTGAATGCAATCAATTGCCAGCCGAACGGCGGGTTCGTGTGTCCGGTGCAGCCCTCGTCCGGATTCGTGTTGCTTCCGAGCCGGAGCTCAGCGTTTCTGCCAATCTTCAAACCCAACGACTT